TCCCTTCTCCTCCATTCTCCTCTTGGAATTTTGGGCATACACGCACACGAGCCCGGTGTGAGTTTTAAGCCACCGGGTCTGGGACGCGAACCACAGTCGACTCCATGGGAGTCCAGCGACATAGCCGTTACGCTAACTGCTGGTCCTGATTTGACAAAATATTTTATTGGGTTGTTAAGCTACCTTTATTTAAGTACCTTAATTTGAAGAATGTATCTGTCACTAAAGCTGAAGTATAAAAACAAAAACCAAAAAAACAAAAAACTAAATGTGCAATGAAGAGCAGAAGAAATAAAACACATATGCCATCTATTTGTATTCATTTTTTTAGAGGTTTTTGCTATAGGATGCATGCCCTCGCTAGAAAGACAGAGAGAGACAGAAAGATAGAAAGCAAGAACCCACCACACACACACCTGAGGAGGGATGGCCACATCACAATCCCTTCTCCTCCATTCTTCTCTCTGAATCTTGGGCATGCACGCACATGCGCCCGGCGTGAGTTTAAGCCACTGGGTCTGGTACTTGAACTGCAGTTGACTACATGGGAGTCCAACAATATAGCCATCATGCCAACTGCTGGTCCCATCATATTCATTATTAACCAACTCTTTAACTTAGGAAATAGGGAAGTGAAGTGAATGAGACCAAATCTTGTTATGAGAGAATAAGCTGAGGCTAATTTAATAGTTGGGATGAATGGGAGATGAACTGACTATAGAGACATTGTCTGTAGGGCTGTGGGACTGTCCAGAAAAAATGAGTTTTACATCATTATCTAAAGCCCTGAAGTTGGTCTATAGACTACATAATCAGGCCCACTGGCTAGAATGACAGTTGAGTGAGTACTCAGTAGCCAAACAGGAGTCTGACAGCCCTCAGGATCTCTGACAGTATACAACAGCACCCTTGGTAACTGCTGTGTACTATGGGCCTAGCACAGAGTAAGAACTCCGTAAGAGACTGAAGGGGTGGGTAAGAAATGAACGTTAAATCCACATTTGGGAACTAGCAACTACTAAGAAGGGATCTCCTACCAATCTTTGTCCTAGACTAACTGCACAGGAAGGCTGTGGAAAGATACATGTAGTAGTTATTTTATAGATCTCCTAGGATTTTCTGTATAAACAATATCATTTGCAAAATAGGACAGTTTTACTTATTTCTTTATGGTTTTTATTTCTTTTTCTTGCCTTATTGCATTAGCTCAAACCTCCACTATATTGTTGGAGAAGTGATGAAAGCATACATTATTGCCTTGCTCCTGATCTTTGGGAGAAACAAGAAAGTCTTTCATCATTAAGTATGATGTTAATTGTAGGATTTTTCTGTTTGTTTGTTTGTTTTTTAGACACTATTTCTGGACATTGATCATTAAATTTAGAACCTTGATCAGATTCAAGTGTGTGTGTGTGTGTGTGTGTGTGTGTGTATGTGTGTGTGTGTGTATTTTTGGTAGTGGGAAGACCTACAAAGGCATGATTTTATCAAGAAATAAGATGTATTTTTTTAACCTCTTTGTGATATTAGAAGCCACTGGTGATTGTTGCTTATATCAATTATTGCATTTCAGGTTATACGTTATTTTAATTTAATTCTGTTAATTTCTTCTTTATTACTTGAGATGTGTGTATAGAGAAAATTTTCTTTCATAAACTGTTTACCCTACTATACAGCTTCTGTAGATAGGACAGAGAAATTCTTGATAGTTTTCTTTATTAGTATCTAGAATAATGAAGTGGTTCCATAGCATCCTTTAATGGTGACCAGTGCTTTTAAAAACATCAGTTATGAATTCACTATGTGGTTCAGTCCATTATTTATTATTCTTATTGATACTAAATAAGTATGTACTTTCCTAATTCTTTTAGAACTTGATATTTATCATTTTTCCTCTAGATTTGTGGTTAGGTCTTTGTTCTCTGTAGAATCCAAGTTCTACTAAGCTCTAAAACATTAGCATATTTTTACTTACACAAGTAAGGATAAGAAGAGAATGTAATGAAAGGCTTATTTCTAATATCTGTGAATAAAGAATGGGACTGTTTGCATCTGAATCATACTTCAGCTATATGGCTATACATTCTAAGTAACCTTGCAATTTTGTGGGTAAAATCAAAGAAGTCAAACTTTCTATGATTGGAACCTGTAAGAGAACATTATTTTGGTATCATGGTTGTTATGTAAAAGGTGACATATGTCAGAGAATATAAATAATAATTTTAAATGTTTTTTGGTAAAAATCAATCACTGGAAAACCTTGTATAACACGAGGGGAAAAAGTCTTCCTGATGCACAGTGTGAATTTTTTTCTTTTTTGGAGAGGTTTTTGCTATAGGGCGCGTGTGCTCGCCAGACAGACAGAGACAGACAGAAAGAGAGAAATCACCCCTTGGGGGGATGGCCACGCCGCAGTCCCTTCTCCTCCGTACTCCTCTCGGGATCTTGGGCACGCATGCACACGCACACGCACCCGGCGTGAGTTTTAAGCCACCGGGTCTGGGATGCAAACCGCGGTCGACTACATGAGAGTCCAGCGACATAGCCATTACACTAACTGCTGGTCCCCAGTGTGTATTTTTGATGTAATGTTAACTTCATGTGGTTTAGCTCTCTGATTTGAGTCATGTATATAACCTTCTGAACATTTAATATGCCAATTTCCTCATATTATTATTGTCCTAAAGTATAATATTTCACTCTTTAGCAACAAATATGTACATAAAGGGAATTAAAATTTATGGAGTTTTGTGTGCTTAGCACAACATAGTAAATGTCAAACATGGTTTATTTCTTTTAGTTTTATTGTATTTTTTCCTGATTATAAAAATAATGTTGTAAAAATCTGACAAAATAGGGATTGTCACAATCTTGGCCACAATATTTAATATTAAATTACATATCTAAATGTTCCTCTAAGTGTAGATATTCACAATGAGATATTTAGATCTTTAAGGATGTTTATATTTATATTTCACCAAAAAATACAGGGAAGATATTTCTAACTAAATATCAATTGTTTTTTTAAAAACTTTCACACTTTTATGAGCTGGTTGTAGTTTTGGCAATGAGTGTATATTATGTATGTATGCATAATATTTGGCACACACATGTCTGTGTATGTGATGTAATGATGGAGGGAGGCAGGAGAGTTGAGGAGAGATATATGTAAAGAAAAAAGTTCTGAAATGAAAGACACCAATGTGGTTTAACAAATTCAGATAATATTTCAAAGATTTGTTGTTGTGCCTAATGTCTATCACATCATACACTATCTAAACAGAGAACTGTACATTATACTAGTTGGTGTCGGTTTCAATTTCATGAACTTAAGAATTTGTGGCCACTATTTAAGAAAAAATACTTCATTTAACAATTTTAGTCGACATTGTTTTTTGATTACCAGGAACCTCCTCTCCCCACTTAATGTATGTCGCAAATGAATGATTTGGAGAAATATGACTTTGTCCCTGGTTTTGTTGGGGAATCTGAGTGGATCCTAGAAATGCATTTTCTCTTTCTTGATTGTCTTAGCCATAGAGTTGAGGAATATTTCTCTTTTAGTCTTATTAGATGTTTAGATCTTTTGATACCCTTTACCTGTTATGTAAGTTAATGGATTACTTGATTTTCTAATGGACTAACATAACATTTTTGACAGGAATTAATTTTTTTAAAGATACATTACTGATGAATCTCTCTTTTTAAAAAATTTTATTTATTCATTCATTTATTTTTTAACTTGACAAAGAGAGACACAGAAAGAGAGAGAGAGAAAGGGGAAGTGAGAAAGTAAGCCACCAGGTCTGAGACTCAAACCGTGGTCAGCCATGTGGGAGTGTCCAGCGCCTTAACCACCATGTCACCTGCTGGTCCCTGGCAGGAATTAATTTTAATAAGAAAATTTTTTAATGATTGAAACCCTATAAAAATCTTGTTCATCTACTTTTCTCATTTGTGTAAGGACAATGTCATTTTAATGAGAGAAATTGGTTTTATATATAAGAAGCATTTCAAATGAGTTTTTTTTAAAGTTGTGTGCATCCAATGCTTATCAAAGCAGCATTTAAAGATATTATATTTCTAAGAAAAAGGAAGACTCTTTTTTAAAAATATTTTCTTAGAACTCATCAACCTGTAAATTAAATTCTCCTTGTCTGTATTTTTTTTTTTCAGATAGTTTCTATTTTTAGTTGTAATGAGTTTATAGGCAGCATCCCTTTTCCTCACTCTGCCTCCCATTCCTACTGTTACTTTAGTGTGTCTCAGTGGTCCACATTCATCTCAAGTTTAAAAATCTACTTTTTCTCTTTTTCTTTAGAACTACAGAGTGGTTTTTTTTTTTTTTTTTTTTTTTTTTTCTTTTTTTTTATAAAACAAAAGGGGGTTTTTTTTTTTTTTTTTTTTTTTTTTTTTTTTTAACTATGTAAAGTTATGCAAGAAGCTGAAAAGGGTGCCATTTTGTTAGGTCCAATCTACAGCTATTGATACGTGATAGCACTGAAGTGAAAACTAGATGATGTGAGTATCAGGCCTCCCATAGCTGCCTAGATTTTTCTCCTATGCTCAGGCACGCAGGTTGCCAGAGGAAAAATGGCTGATGGCATAGGTATGCCTCACTGACTGGGAGACTAAGGCCAACTGAATGCAGACCAATGAAGACATTATAAAATAGAGAGTTTCATAGTCTTGCAGCAGTGAGAATGAGACAGAAGCTAAGGAATGTCTAGCTGGAGAGTCTGAATTCCGGCATTATATAAATTATTACCGTGAAAAGGGTTTTTCTTTTGAACTTCGATAGTCATGTGTTTCTTTAGTTTCTGCTGAATCTCATTACTATAATTACCAGGTTGCTCATAGAAGTCATTTCATCTCTCACTGAATTACTCTCCAAATAACTACTTCTTAAACGCTGCATAATGGGTATTGTAATGTCAGTGAGACAGCAGGGTGTTTAATACCTGTTTCCTCAACTGTTCTTGGTTTTCTTGCCCTTTCAGGATGTGGGGAGCATCTGGTGCGCACCATACTGGCTAGAGAGTGTTCACATGCTTTACAAGCTGAAGATGCTCACCAAGCTCTGTTGGAGACTATGCAAAACAAGTTTATCAGTAAGTATAACATTGAGAAAATTATATCCTTCTTAATTCAGATTGCTGCACTAGGCTGTGTAAGCACCATCAGTCAGGTACCCCATTGGTTATCTCTAGACCTAGCTCCAAGGCCTGGCATACAGTTAGACCCTCAGTTAATATTGGCCATGAAAAAAAATTCCTGCTACTCCAGCTTGAAATCTGACATATAACTAAGCTACTGACCAAGATGTGAGACATTGTCTAGAAGTAAAGAGACATATGAGGGTCTTCAAAGTTTTAGGAAAATGCATATTATGAAAAACTATGCAGGACTTCTTTTGGGGTACCAAAATAAACTTGTATTTAATTCCATTCTTATGTGAACATTTTTTTTTTTTTGAGAGGTTTTTCGCTATAGGGCACGTGCGCTTGCCAGACAGACAGAGAGAGACAGAGAGACAGAAAGCGAGAAATCACCCCCCAGGGGAGATGGCCACGCTGCAATCCCTTCTCCTCCATTCTCCTCTCGGGATCTTGGGCACGCACGCACACGTGCCCGGCATGAGTTTAAGCCACCGGGTCCGGGACTCTAACCGTGGTCAACTACGTGGGAGTCCAGCGACATAGCCATTATGCTAACTGCTGGTCCCTCTTATGTGAACTTTATGAAGTCTTCTCATATAGTAGAATAAAATTTTACTAAGAGAAAATTAAAAGGATAACTTTATGTGAAGGTTTTATAGTATAATTTGACTTTTTTTTTTCGAGAGATTTTCGCTATAGGGCGCGTGCGCTCGCCAGACAGACAGAGAGAGAGATAGAGACAGAAAGCAAGAAATCACCCCCCAGGGGGGATGGTCACGCCGCTATCCCTTCTCCATTCTCCTCTCGGGATCTTGGGCATGCACGCACACGCGCCTGGCGTGAGTTTTAAGCCACCAGGTCCGGGACACGAACCGCAGTCAACTATGTGGGAGTCCAGCGACATAGCCATTACACTAACTGCTGGCTCCCTTTTTTTTTTTTTTTTTAAGAAGTCCGTTTTTGTGTTCCTACATCTATAGCTGCTGTGTATAATTGTATAGGTTGAGGTAAAATCCTGCTGGGCACCATTTGCCACTTCATGTAACCTAGTGTGATGCTACATCTTCTGGAGGAAGAGATACCTTATTCTGATATGTAGAAAGGCTTTGTATACATTCGCAGTGACCCTATACATAGCTGTTATTTTTGGATTAAAACTGACTTAGTCTGGTTTCTTTATCATCTAACATTGAGCTTACTCTATACATTGGCTTATGAAGTTATATAAGAAATATAAAGCATAGTTAAATGTAAGTCAGAATAGTAAGTCAAGAAAACATAAATTAGTAAGAAAAGGTAGCACAGGGTTAAGGGTGGTGGTGGGGTGTCCTCTCTTAGAGAATTGGCAAGGGCATATCTGAAAAAAGTACAGGAAAAATCACTCCAAAGAAGACATTTGCACAAGGGGCTTTTAGAACTGATCTCAAAAGCCTCTGGGGTAAATGGGAAAAGAGGAGGAAGACAGGAGCATGGACACACACATAGCAGTGGCATTAGATAAAGTGAGAACTGAACACCCACATAATTCTCACCTAGAGGGAAGTATTGGGACCAGGTCAGGCAGGTAAGGTTGAGAAGGTCAGGTCATGGAAAGCCTTAATATTTTAGGGAACGAGCTCATATTCAAACTGATAGCATAGTGAAAGCTCTTATGTGTTCTCGAGTTGAAATATATGATGGTGGTTTTGGGGAGGATTTATAGAATTGATCCAAAGTTGCCTAAAACTATCTCTGTAGGAGAGAGACTAATATTAGGGGTTTGGATGGTCTAGGAGAAGAAATGGAGATTTGGAGGTGATTGGTAGAAAAAGTAGAAATGGATATTGAGGCTAGGCGGATATTGCACTGAGTCCAAATAGAAAATAGAAAACCATACAGTAGGTTATATAGGGGGAAGTTTAACATAAAGAATTATTAACTATGATAAAGAATAACTATAGGACATAAGGAAACTCTCAGTGTATCCTAGGGCTCGGAGAGTGGCCAAGGAAGGGCATACTTGGAAGGGTTTCAGACCTCATTGCAGAAGGCCTGATTTGGCCACCAGATAACTGAGAAGTATCATTTTGGCCAGGCTGAGACTGGTCTGGAATCACTGAGCAAACACTAGACCACCCCCTGTCCAGAGTGTAGATGGGGGTACTGATGAGCAGCAGCAAGTGGCTGAGTGTGCAACAGGAACCAGGGTCAGGACAGATGGCTTCTGACCATGCAGGCCACAGAGAGCTTGCAGACAAAATGACTGCTTGATGTAGGACCCATTGGGCAATGGGGACTTGTCCAAGGAGTTTTGGCTGTTGACTGTGGGCAGGCTGCCAAAAGCTCTGGTTTCCATGTCTAGAGGGTTGTGGAAAGGTTATTGCTAGGTCTGGGGTGCAAGGTTCAAGTTCTGAAAATCTGTATGCCAACACACACTTTATCATATATCCTCACACTCACCCTGCCAATCCAAGTCTCTCTTCCCCATTCTGTGGGAATTGCAACAATGGTGCACATTGTAGCTCTGTTAATGTTCTCTAGTTTCTGACTCCTTACCTTCATTATGCTAGTCCCCAGCATTAAGATCAGTATCTTTTTATATGGCATTTTGTATGTTTATCCCCTTTCCCTCTCTACTGGTGGCACCTAGATTGTAGGGAGCTTCTGCATATAATGGTATTATGGAAGGGACAGTCTGATTCATAGTCACCTTCTTCCTACTCTTGGCTCCTGTTGAGATGCAGCTTGACTCCCACATACCTGTGGAATATTGGTCTCTATTGTTGTTGAATTCACTGTTGTGCCCATGGTCTTGTGGCTTCTGACTTCTTCAGAACACACAATATCCACTGTTACTAAGAAGACAGGACCCATTCCCAGGTTCTAGCCCCCTCTCGTGCTGCTTGCTAATGGAGTCAAGCAGTCTAAAAACTCTGTGTTGCCAGGGCTCATTGCTGAGGTACTTCAGGCCACTTTTTCTACTTCTAGAACATCTTACTGACCTGAGTTTGACCTGAGAATTGGGAACCTCCCTATTAGGCTTTCTGTCTTTCTAGGCTTCATCTGAGAGGTGAAGGCCTCTCCTGCTTCAAATCTACCTAGGGCTTTTTGTTTGTTTGTTTGTTTCCTCTTTTTCCGTCACTACTACCAACTTAAGAAGAGAGATGGAGAGCCATACCAGTGTTCAGTTCTTTTCTTTTTAGTCTTCCCACAAACATCCTGGTTGTCAATCACACTCTCTGTCTTCAGGATACTGCTGAAGACATGGTTGGACAAGGTTTCCTCCAAGTGAGTAATTTGTCGGTATTCAGGTTTTTCCTACTTGTAACATATTTCATTCTAAAGCTGTCTCTACCCAGAATTTATGAAAGTCCACTTAGAAGCTCAAAAGACAAAACTAGGTAAGTATACACTAATGTAGTAAGTGGCAGCCCCATTATATGAAGGGATTTTATATAGATGACTTCTTATAGTTATTTGAATTGATGTTATGAAGACATAAGTAATAGTATCAACTATATATATGTTAATATTAACTACCTGATGGCAAGTGTGAGCTGAGGGATAAGTTATAAACAGAACTTTGATATCTACCTCTTGTGATTTTTCAGAAAAAAAGGTTGATTATATTTATGTTAGTATGTCCTCAAATATATAAGAATCAAACTCAGGTCTTATTGTTCATTGTTTTAACAATTGTCATTGTTGAATGCTGTTTTTAAGGGAAATCAAATTCTTGGCCTTAATAGCATACATGATTGCATGCTAAGAAGTTTTTCTTCTGTTCTTTGTTATACTCTCCCTTTTTATAAAAACTCTTTCAAATTGCTGGTAAATTTGGACTATAGTAGTTCTAGGATTCATTGCCTAATGCATATTGTACCTTGTCTTAAAAATTACAAATTCTTGGAAAGGAGCAAGGAACTTCAGAGCTCACCTAATTGACCCTGCTCATTTAATAGTTGAGGAAACTTAATTTGCAAGAGTTTAGTGACTTGCCTGAAGTTATCTTGTTAACCAGTGGGTGTTTATTCTGCAAGAACACATTACTTTAAAAAACAAAAGTAAAATGAGTGTGCACTACAGAAGAATAATGTTGGGAGTTAGGGCAGCTTGCATCCACTGTCAATTCTGTATTCGACTCATTGGATGTAGCAGGTTACTGAAGCAATTTTTGTTTTGATTTGTTTTGTTTTTAAAAAGTGGGAGCATTATGTAAGAGTCAGTTTCTAAATTCCTTCACCATGCTAAGTTCTATGAATTCTCTCTTGGATTCAGTCCATACATCTGAAATTCTTTTTAATCAGATTATTTGGAAATGGTATTGGAAAATGAAAAATTTCAGGAGCCACTTGGGAAGCACAGATGACATTTACAAAGTAGCTGGGATGAAATAAATTGGATTTACTAGGGGCCTGCAGTAGCAATGAGGAGGTTGGGTTCTTTTCTATTTTAGTGCACTGGTTGTATAACTAGTTACCCGTTTTAGGACAGCTCTCTTTGTTCTTAATTTCCTTGTATGTAAAATGATGGGGCATATCTGGATGGTCTCTAAAATTCCTTTGTGCTCTAAAATTCTATTTCATCTTGGTTTAGCTCACAGGCCAATCTAAGCTACTTATATAAAGAGAATATAGTAGGAGTTGGCAAATGGCGTGGTAGTTAAGGTGTTGGACTCCCACATGGAGGAAAACGGTTTGAGTCCCGGACGTGGCAGCTTGCTTTCTCACTTTCTCTCTATATCTTCCTGTCTCTCTCTAGTCAAATTGAAAATAATAATAATAATAATAAATAAAATAAAATAAATAATTACAAATTTTAAAAAAGTATAGTAAATAAAATTAGTAATTAATTGAAAGTATAGTTGAAAATGTTAATGGTGGGTCTAAAGTTTCTATATACACTGATTTGATTGAAATACTTTTCAGTCAGTGATTGAGGTAAGCTAGTAACTATTGTCTTTGTTTCATAGA